TCGCATTCAGATCGTGATTCAGATCTCAGCGATTCAGATCGGTCTCAGTGATTCATATCTCGAAATCGAAATCGAAGTTCGATTCAGATCGTGATTCAGGTATCAGCGATTCAGATCGTTCTCAGTGATTCACATCTTGAAATCGAAATCGAAGGTCAGCTCAGCGATTCAGATCGGTGATTCAGCTTGGTGATTCAGAGGTTCAGATCGATCTCAGCGATTCAGATCGGTGATGAAGACAGTAAGATTACCACTGTTCAACTAATGTTACTGCAATTTTTCCACAAAACATTATCACATGTTCAGGAGACACAACTTATGATGAAGACAGTAAGATTACCACTCTTTATCTCTTCACTTTTTCTTCTCCCTACAAATCCCTTCACATATCCAACACACACACACACATACAGGGACTACCTCATTTGCTGAAACACATGATGCTTTTACTTTTGATGTGACGATGTGTGCTGATCTGACCATCTTATTTTGTCATTTTGCAGACGTCAAAGAAACAATATCATTGCAATGGCTGTGGTCTATGCAGGTATGAATCATTCCTTGTCTCAGTTTAACATATGTTTTTAGCATCTGTGTTTGTTATCTTGGTTTAAAGTAACGAGAATAGTTCCAAACTGATGGATGTGAAACGAAGGTGAAGTAGTTAGTGCTTGGTGTCTATGCACAAAATTTCAAGTTAGTGGGTCTTTTTAGAAGGAAAGCAATCGACATTGTGCAAATGATCAAATTTAACAAGAGTGTCTCCTAAGATTAGGATTAATGTTGAAGGTCAATTTCCCATTAGAGCAAGAATGTAAATAGTTAAAGGATTGTCCTTAACACTCAATGCCTAAAGTCACATACATATTTTATTCTCTTGCTTTTGTTACAGAATTGCGGGTGGGAGAATTTCTTCCATTGCAATAAATGCCGTAAGTCTCTGTTCTTTCCTGTATTGGTTATATGTCATATAGGTGTTTTGATTACGTTTATGTTAGTATATTTTAATTGTTTGTGCTAATTATATTGTGGACATACCTTTTAGGATGCTGCTACTCGGTTCTTTTGAAGAATAGCCATCCCTGTGTTGAAGGAGCAATGCAAATGACTGCCCTGTTTGCTTTTGAGGTATTTGACATTATCCATATTTCTTTGGTTCTTCCTATACTATAATGATTTCAGTGTTATTTTAGTACGTGTCCACAAGCACATGCTAATCAAAAGCGGTTTCTGCAGTATCTATTTGAGTCGAGAAATGATGTAACCGTCATGCCCTGTGGGCATACTATTCACGAGAGCTGCTTAAAGGATATGCATGAACATTATCGGTGAGGGTCTAAAGAATTAATTCTCGGGTAAATGGTTTTGAGAAATTTTTTTTTTTTTGTATGTATTAATTTACTTGGTTATTGAATGGGTATGCAGTATCTATTTTTTTTTTTTTATTAAACTTCAATTTTTTGTTCCCTTGGAAATTAAATTATAACTGACGTTTAGATTTTAACACTTTAACTACTTCCAAAATGGAAGCAGCGAAATGTGGACTGGCATGGTGAGGGTTATTGTCTCCAGAAGGAAACCAATCTGGGTGAGCCTTGCTTTGCTTTTCGCTTTAATGTTAAGTCAAGATATTTGGGTTAAGTTTTGATGTGGAACGGGTTTATTGTTGTGAGCAGACATATCTCCATGCCTTTGGGATGGAGTAAGCCAGAATGAAGAAGATCTGTCCTACATGTTTGACGAAACAACACCTGTTAAGGCCTGTGGGGATTTGGCTTACCATGTTGCTGACAATGGTCGTTTTATACTTTACTAAAATGTTTCGACATTTGCTAGCTTTTAATGCTTGTTTGATTTGAAGGACACTGTTTTTTATCTGGAAAAAAATGAATGCGAACTGTTGCTCTGAGCACCTAAGAAATAGTTGCGAGCTCAAGGTCAGTTTTAAATGCAAAATGATAAATATATAAATCCCTCCCTGTTCAAAACATATCAAAACCTGGATTATCTTTCTTTTAAAGAGTAAACCAATAATTAAATGTTTCATTCCTCATCCCTCTCAAAGCTACCCCTAGAGCTTTGGCCCTGTAATTAGCTCATATATGTGGACGTGGTACTACATGTACTTAGAAATTAGACGGGCCAAGCCCAGACACCCTCGTGAGCAAAATCTGGAGCATCTAATAAATGGGTCATGAGGACTCCAAACCCATCTCATTAAATTCACATCAAACCCAACCAAGCCATCTAGATTCTAGCCCATTTCTTTTGAAATTTTGAAAAGACTTTAATTTGTAAAACTAAATTATGCAATAATAATTAAGGTTGTAATAATTAATTTATAACATTTTAAAAAAACTCACAAATAATTATTGCCGCCCAAATGAGTCCCTTAACCCAGGCTAAACAAACCCCTGATAGAGGGCATGAATTCCATTCCAAAAATTCTTAAAGATTTTTTTTGGACTGTGTCCTAATTAAAAGGCATGGTAAATATATGTAAGAAGAATAATATGCAGGGTTCAGCAAACCTGAAACTTTGCAGCCCGCCAAAGAACCTTGCCAGAAGACGTGGCTCTATATGCTCTACTGCCCATTCAGATTCTCATGTAGTAAGATCAATAGGAGAATAATACTATGTGGTATTCGCACAAAGCGAAAACATTATAAACAATATCCCATAAAATGGGAAAGCTTCCGAATTACAATGAGGAAAAAACCTGAATGGACTAAACAAGCATGACTCAAACAAAATTTTCATGTATTGTTCCATATTTGACACATGGTGGTCCATATAAACATTATAAAAGAAGAACTGACAACATATTTTATATTTTAGTATACCCTCAATTATAATGAATAAATAAATAAAATATGCAAATCAAAATACAAATGTGAGAGGGCACATAATCAAATATAGTCTCGAAAATACAAAGTTATAATTAAAGAAAAAAATAATCGTAACTTAAAATACACTTATGGTAAAGTGTTCATATAGGAATTCTCCCTCATTCTAAACAGAAAACCCAAATGTAAAGTTAATAATACCTAAATTTATCTGGATTGGTGACATGGACCATGATATATGTATAGAAATCCTGGAAAATTGCCACTCCTAACTAGTATGTGTCAATATATATTGATATACCGTGTGTCTTTGAGGTGCGTATCCTATATCATTATCATTATAAGTGAGAAGATATGAGAATAGGCATTCGAACTAGGGAGAGAGCGAGGTTGTTGATGAGTTACTAAAGTAGCTTTATTTCCATTGTGTCAAGATTTTAGTAGAAATTGTAAAACAAATAGTGTTATTGAGTGTATGTGCCACATATAGATATTTGAAATTTTTTTTAAAAAAAAAAACTATAGCCAATATATGAATGAATAATTAAAGAAACCTCGCGAAATAGGAAACGAACAAACAAATAAAAGAACTATGACCTAAAATTTTTGAAACAAGTTTCCTAAATCTCTGAACCCTGATAATAATATATATTCTGGTTGGCTTTTTCCTAAATCTCATCTATAACAGCATGCGTGTACATGGGCTGAGTTACCATTAGACAATATCTAAGATACACATATCAGGCCACGGTAATTATCGTCAACCTTTATTACAGCTAGCTCGACACTCATCACACCATTGTGATAAATCTGTATCCTTCCATAAATAATTCAAGAAGTAATTATATATTTAAAAAAAAAACACGTGGTTAGGTACCATTTAAATATTATAGGGAGACGGCCTAAAAACACTATATACTTGATCTATTGTGTTATAATTTTAATAATTTATTTAATTAAAAAGGTCCATTACTATTGCTATCAAAAGTAACAAGTAAATTAAAAAAAAAAAAAAACATTTAACAAACCTTCAATTGCTAAATTTTTTGTAATTTTAAAAATATTTAAAAAATAATATTATTGGCTAACAAAGTAAACTATAGATTTTTAAAAATAAAAAAATAAAATTTGAATTATAAGTTTCCCTAAATATGATCTCTTCCCTAATATTAGATACGATTGTCCTATATTATCTGCACCAAAATTCAATTTATTCTCTATGTCTCGTAACTGCTGCTGATAATTGTATGGTGAATCAAAGTGACTTTTTTTAATCTTAGAGGCTCTAATCAAAATAAATTTTAAAAAATTTAGATATACATAAAATTTGACAAGAATAATGTGACAATGTTAGTTAATGTGTATTTGATTTTGTTGTTCATCTAAATAAAATAAAATAAAATAAGATTGAATGTATATTTAGCTTTGGTTGTAAATCTAAAATAAAAAAATAAAAATTGGTTGTGAACCTGAAAAAATAAAAGAAAGAAAAAAGATTGAATGTATATTTAGTTTTTGTTGTGAACCTTAAAAAAAAAAAAAAAAAAAAAAAAAAAAAAAAAAAAGGGGTTTTTAACTTTAAATAAAAAAAATAAAAATAAAAATAAAATAAAAATGGAGATTAAAGTGGGTTGGGGAAATCCAAACCAATTAAGAAATGGGGAGAGTGGTACCCATGGGGAATGGAGAAAATTTATTATAGGGGAATAGGGATAGGAAATTAATATCCACCCCATTAACCCCCATTGCCATCCCTAATAACAACAATTTTAACGGTATTAGTGGCAGTGGTGAAATTACTACTATACATTGTCATTAAATATTATATATTGTCTTTAAATGTCATAGGGAGAATATTTTGAAAATAAAATTCAAATTAATGATAAATTTTAATTATTAAGGATATAAATTTTTGCATGTATTAGTAATTATTTTTTTTAAGTACAACTTATTTTTTTCCCAATATTATATATTCTGGTGTCAAATTAAACAATTACTCTCTCTTTTATCTAATGAATTTACCTAATTATTCTTATTTTTCCAATAATATATACATTATTCAAATATAAAAATATTAGCGTTTAGATGCAAATCATTATTTGAACATAAACATAATAAAGCATAAAATCAATTTTTTAGTCTAATACACAGCATGATTATTTCTTATTCGTCTAACCAACAAATGACTAACAGTATTGGCCAAAGTGTTAAGCCAAAATTGTAATGCTAACTGTAATTTGTTTATTACACGAGGGAGATTAGTCTAATTCCTATTTAGCACCAAATTTCGAATTCAATTTGATGTCATATTTTGACAATAAAAATTGACCCAGCCCACTTCGGTCTCTACACAAGTACTCTATCAGAAACACATCAAGTTCTAGCTTGGAACTTCACATCCATTGAATTGCCAAACAAATTCCTGGGGCCAGGAAACAACCCGGGTGTGAAAGTGGCTGTTCCAGTGATTTCTGGGCTGTTGTTTCTTGCAATATTGGCTTTACCGTTTGTGCTTAGAGCTCTTAGAATACGAAAAGAGAGGCTTGCAAGGAAAGTAGACACTGAAATGATGATAGCAGCAGCAAATGGACCACGGCTCTTCTCTTACAAGAAACTTTCGAAGGCAACTCGCAACTTCAGCAAAGACAACCTGTTGGGAATTGGCGGTTTTGGCAGTGTTTACAAAGGGGTTATGTCGAAACCCCCCACCACTATTGCTGTCAAAAAAATCAATGCCACATCCAAACAAGGTTTGCTTGCTTTTCATTTCCCGATTATTAATACTGGCAACACTGCATTCATTCTAATTGCACTCATACTCCACTAGGATTAATGCAGTGCTACCACTACCAGCTATTGCCAGCACTTGTCCTGAAAATATACCCATTTTTTCTGAGAGTACTTACGTATAGGTCCTAATAAGTACACTTATTGTTTAATAGGTTCTATAGAAAAAATTTGTCATAAAAAAGTCACTAATTGTAAGTTTTAGCGACAATTTATAAAAATCATGATAAAAAAAAAAATCACTAATTGTTAATTTTTAACAACGTATGTAAAACATTGTCACAAAAAAATTATTTTAGCTACAATTTTACTAAAGACTTATTTTCAATAGGACTTCATGGAAATTAAGTCCAACTATTAGGACCTATTGGTAGTTTACCTTTCTTTTCTTTCTCTGACCTGATGAAAGTTTATATATTCTATAACCTAAGCCCTTTTTTTTTTTAGGACTTGGATTGTTGTTGTTAAGATTTTATTTATAATTAATTTTTATTTTATTGATATTAATTTGAAATAAAATTATGTATAGCATTGCTCTTTTGAAAATTGTCATCATGTGTTCACGTATCAAAACCATTTTCTGTCTAATCTAGGTGAGAAGGAATACTTGGCAGAAATCTGCACTATTAGCCGCCTAAGCCACAAAAGCTTACTACAACTCCAAGGTTGGTGCCATGACCATGACCAACTCCTACTGGTTTACGAATATATGCCTAATGGCAGCCTTGACCGCTTCATCGGCAAGGACGACGCCTTCCTTGATTGGGCAACCAGGTACAAGGTATTACTGGGATTAGCATCAGCATTAGTTTATCTACATGAAGAGTGTGGCAACCCTGTTGTACATAGAGATGTGAAGCCCAACAATGTCATGTTGGATTCAGAGTACAATGCACATCTAGGTGACTTTGGCCTTGCCAGGCTACTTCAAAACGAAGCCTCAGTCACAACCAGAATAGCAGGGACACCAGGGTATTTGTCACCAGAGGTTAGCTTAATGGGTAGGGTTACCCCAGAGTCTGATGTTTACAGCTTTGGAATGGTGGTTTTGGAAGTGGTTTGTGGGAAGAGATCAAAAGGCATCATGGATGCGAAGAGTTTAGTAGATAGCGTATGGACGTTATACGAAAAGGGTGTCGATGCATTGCTCGATTGTGTGGATAGATTGCTTGAAAGGAAATTTGATGAGGAAGTGAAGAGGAGTTTGGTTGTAGGGCTTGCTTGTTTGCATCCAGATTTAATGCTCCGGCCTCAGATGAGAAAGGTGATTCAGGTTTTCCTGAACCCTAATGAGCCTCTCCCAAATTTGCCCGAATCGCGGCCTAATTTGGTATGCTTGTCATTTAGCTCTTTTTCAATAACTTCAACTACAACTGATTTAGGTAATAGCAAAGTCGATGGTGGAGGTTCTATGAAGACTTTGCCAGATGAGACCACAGTTCAAAATGTAGGAGCATATGTTAGACTAAATTTTAAAGCATGTATAAAATGTATAAAATGCATAGGAGGTTCTTGGGAAATTGATGTATAAAATGTAACCCTTTATGCAGTAGATTGAATATGGTAGAGTGCAACTACACGGGGAGATTGAAAGTTTAATTTCAATTATCTTAAGTTTTTGAATCGTTTTTGAGCAATTGTAAAGCATGACAATTGGTTTATTATATTTTAAGAGTATTGTTATTTAAGACAAAAAAAAAATTAGACTAAATTTTCAAATCCAGTAATGTGGTAATTAATTAGGATATTGAAGACAATATTCTCTCTCATATGTTCTCTAATAATTAACCAATTATATCACTTAAACATCATTGGGTCTAGAAAGTGGACTTGTATATCATTTTTTTATATTTTAATGATGCATAATAGGTTTAAGCAAGAATTTAGCTATAACAGAGATGGTGAGATTTCATTTTATTTTATATTTTTTTTATTATTCTCAACAAGAAAGACACATGATTCAGGATTTAAAAATAAAAATAAAAAAATTAGAAATAAATCTATGCTTGCATTTTATTAAAATAAATCCACTTATAATATACATATTGTAAATATTATATTGAAACAAGTAATTTGAATTTACAAAGGAAAATGCTAAAGACCGCTCATTGCGTGATCATTAGACTCGATATGTATATATTGTAAAAAAAAAACACATAAATATATATATATATATATATATGTAAATATATTTTGAAAAATGTAAAAAGTATATTGGGATTTTAATTATTTTGATTTTATATCTTTCTTAAAAACAACCCGCAGGTTGTCATTAACTTGACCCATGTACAAAATATTTAGGAAGTCCAGAATGGTATGGATTTGTGAATATTTAAGTGAATAAAGATTTTTGTGTTAAGATTTTGAATTTGATCGGAGAAAAGAAAAGAGTAGGACGAAGTGGTATGCTATTAGACTAAATTTTGATTTTAGAGGGATTTGGTGATATCCCCCTCACTATCTAATTTGTCTTTCAAAAAGACAAGAATTATATAAGTACTTTCAAAACCCCCTAATATTTTAAAACTTGTTTCTTTTACTATATTACCCCTCATATCTATCAACTCTCCTATCAAGTCATCTTCACTATATATTTCAGAGTAAAATTTTACTCTGTATAAAAGTAAAATTTTACTCTGTATGAAAGTAAAATTTTACTCTGTATGAAAGTAAAATTTTACATTCTGCAACTAAAAGTAAAATTTTACACTGTATGAAAGTAAAATTTTACTTTGTATGAAAATAAAATGTTACACTCTGAAACTAAAAGTAAAATTTTACTCTGTATAAAAGTAAAATTTTACTCTGAAAAACTAGTAAAATGTTAGACTCTACACAAAAGTAAAATTTTATTCTGTATAAAAGTAAAATTTTACTTTGAAAAATGAGTAAAATGTTAGACTCTACACAAAAGTAAAATTTTACTCTATATAAAAGTAAAATTTTACTCTGGTTCTGTCAAATGAAAAAAACAGAGCAATAGAACCAGAGTAAAATTTTACTCTGATTTTGTCAAATGAAATTAGATACAAAACAACAAAAATAAATAAAAAACAAACAAACAAACAAAAACAAAACAAATTAATCAACAAATCAACATATCTAATTGAGAAGAAAAACTTCTAAAACTCGATCAACAATCACAAATCTCAATGAAAAGAATACATGTGTTCAACAATACTCATACACACAAATATATATGTATATATACATATATTCAAAACTCAAATCTGTGTTTAAAAAAATATGTATAACCAAGTAACTCCACCTCACTCTTCTCCACGTGGTCATTGCGAACTCGATGGATCTTCAAATTGCAATAGAAGCTTCAAATTGAGTCTAATTTCGCTTCAAGATAGCAAACACAAGTGTGATTTCGATTCAGTTAGCGAAGTCGATCTGCAAGTCGTTCGAACTTAGAGTTTGCAACCTTTAAGCCAGATGCAAACTGAAATCGCAATTCCAATTAGAACTTGAAATCCAAAGTTCTCATCGAAGTTGACTCAAAGAGCAACGAGTCACAAGAGAGAACCCAAGGTCAGATCGCGAAGGACTCCAGTTCGTAATCGCGAGTTCCAGAAGCTTGAATTCGGGTTGATTGTCGAATCAGATCAATTTTGCGATAAAGTCCTTGGTTTCTTAACAGACGCAAATTAGATTAAAGCTTCAAACTAAGCTTCAATTCAAATACACAGGTCAGATTGTGATTGCTTGAACCAGGTCAGTGTTCTAGGTCAAAGATTGAATGAATCTTAGGCTTAGATGAACTCGATTTTGGCTGGCCAGAGTCATAGAGACCAAGAAGGTGGAGAGAGAGTGGGTGGAGAAGGTGGGAAGATTTAGTTGAGGGTATAATAGTTTGAAAAAATATTTAAATAATAAATTTTGTCCTTTATGCAAGATTTTATAATTATGAAGGGGTTTAGAAAATTTAATTTTTTTCTTAATCCTTTTAACAATGAAAAGAAGGTAAAGGGAGTTTATAGCCAAATTTTATTATACTTTACATCATATAAATTGTTTGTTGGGTCTTGTGGACCTTGTACAGTGGATCTTTGGTCTAATAAAGAGTTTGGGGGCCTCTCTCAAGGGAAGAGGTTCCGATGGACAGTTTGGATACTTCGATAATTTTTTATTATTTTTTTGTTACTTTAATTTCTATGTTTATAAATAAATAAAAAAGTGTCTATTTTTTTGGAGAGAGTCGTAATCGTTTTCTAATTATAGTGAAATTTGCAATTTCTTTGACTCATTTTATTTTTATTTTTTTTGTTTACTATTTTGTGTTTTATCAATCCTTATTAGGAAAATCGATTTCCTAACATTGTCATATATATATATATATATATACTAGCATTATACCTGTGCTATGCACAGTATCACATAAATAATTAAAAAATAATATTAATATGAAATATTTTTTAAAAATATTTTAATATGTAGACAAAAAAGAGATTTAAAATCAAATGATTTTTAATTATTTTTATAATAATTACAATTATTATTATTTTAGTTTTGTCATCAATGGTGTGTTCTACATATTAAAAACAAAATGTGTTATACCGTAATTAGTAAAAAATAAAGGCAAAAAAAAGAATAAATTATAAAAATTATACTTACAGTAAAACATAAATAAACTATGTCATTGAAATTTTGTAATTGTAGTTTATCTTATGTTAGAGTTCATCCAATAATATAACAAATCAAATGTGTTGCTAATTTTTACCCTTTATCTTCTTTATGAAGCTCAATAAAAATGGTTGACATTAAGATTAATTTACATAATAAAATAACAAAGAGAACAAAAGGAGTCCTTTTCTCGGTTATTCCAGATCTCCCTTCAAATATATCAATTATAGTTAAGTCAACCATTAAAAATCAAAATTAAAGTTCAAACTTAAAGCTTGGCCCATCTTGTACTTAGCCATACCTCAAAACCATTATTTCGGTCTGACTCCACCATTAAGCTTTTGTTTGGAATGAATTAATTTAGCCTGACTTTTTGTCCATTTTAACTTGATTAAAAAAATTATGTTTAGGATAAATTTTGGCTTTTTTTATAATTGATTTAATAGTTGTAAGAGAAAAAGTAAAATCATTATAATTTAAATATGATATTTTGTCTTATTAACTAAATTAACATGTTTTGTCTTTATTGACTAATTTAACCAAAATAGCTCAAGCCAAAGTCTAAGACCAATATTTTGTCAATTTTAAAATTAATATATATATATATATATATATAAATATTTAATTTTCATATTAGAAAAATTAATTACACCAATACTTATTCAACTATTTAGGAATATTAACTTATTCCTTAAGTTAATTTTTCTTGATCTAGACCCACAAAAACAATTCTTATTATTTGAATTATATGCCACTATTAAAATTAATCTATTAAATAAATAAATAAAACATATTTATATATAAAATGTAAATGAACGCCCAAAACTTTAGTTTAACTATTTTAGTGTTTAAGGACTAATCTATTGATAAAAACTTGAGTCTGGACTTGATTTTATTTTTATTTTTTTGACCTAATTTTTTAGATTGTACAAGTTATTTGACTACAGTTAATATTGAGGATGAAGTCTATTACGATTTACCTTTAGGATAGCTTTTACACTGCATATTTTGATATCGAAATTTGATACTATGCATTGTAGCACCTCAGATTATTCAATGAGCCTCACATGACACATGTAATTATTGTTTTTAAGACGTTACATCAGATACTACCAAATAGGATATTACTAAATTTCATATTTTATTTTTTAAATATTCCAAAATTTCAAATGAGATGTAGCTTAGTTATGAATAAAATTTTATTTTGGACTTTCCATTTAAAAAGATTTTCAAATTAGATATGTAACTTGATGTGCCAATAATTTAATGCCAAATATATTTCTTAGCTTTTAAAAAAGAATTGTAAGAATTTTAAAAAAATAAATAAATGTAAAATTTGAACCCAAAAAAAATCTCCTCTCATAAGGAAGAGTCTCATTGGAAGTTAGAGAAGATTATGAAAGTCTATTCCTATTTATAGGAAAAGATTTTTCAAAGAGAACGTACAAAATTCTATGTGGGATTCAATCAAATTATTTGAAACATATTGCTTGGAGGGAGAGTTGAAAATTTCATTTCCTTCCAAAATTAAACCTAACATTCAATCAATTTGTTTAGAGGGAATGTTTAAAAAATTTAATTTCTTTAAAACAAGTGACTTTTTTTTATCAATTATGACTTTATTAAATATTATTAATAAATATTATACAACAATTTTTATTTTTATTTGAGTATTTATATATATTTTTATTTATTTATAATTTATAATTATATAATATTAATTATGACGTCACGGTTCGACCGCTTTGAACCAACGGTTGAACTGGTGACCCGTCCACCCAGTCCCTTTTTCGGTTCACTCACCGGTCCGATTTTCAAAACATTGCTATACATTTAACAATTTGAAATGTAATAAGTTCCGAATTTAAAATATGTTATCATAATAATTAAAAGGTCAATAATTATAATTAAAGTAAATTGACCAATGATTTTATGTATTTTTATATTTTATTAATTTAAATTTTTAAAAAAAAAAAATTAGATTAGAAGTTTTA